TTGCCTATTAAATATCATGTTCTTAATGTTAACATCTCAACCGTTTACAATAACCATTCTATGAACCAGTTTCACAACTTATAACAATTGAAAATATTGCATCCACCATACCATACAAATCAATAACCATTAAGTGAACCAGATAACCCAGGAAAAAAAACGAAACGATTTCATCAACAATTGTTGATAATGAAACAATATTATCCAAGAATATATTTCGTATCATAGTATATTATGCAACGATTTAAACCATAGATGAAACGATTTCATCAACGTAATATATGAGACATTTGTCATTTTCATGTTTTCAGTACGTGGATCCGTTTCAATCTAATTACGAAATGGTTTCACTGTTTGCCAATTACACAACATGTTCTCAACAATTATGAAATGGTTTCACTGTTTGCTAATTACACAACATTTTCTTAACAATTATGAAATGGTTTCACTGTCGTTATGCACCTATTTCATCAACAAAGTTTTTGCAATCCGAACACGTTTCATAGCGTCAATGCATCTACCATTATAGGTTTTGTTAACCATGAAGTGAACAAAATCATCCAAAAAAAAATTTAAATTTTTTTTTGGATGAATTTCATCAATAATTGTTGATAAGAAAACAAAATTATCCAAAAATATTATATTACGCAACCAGTTCATCCCCAAAAGTTTCATTAAAAAAGTTTCTCCATGAACGTTTTCACAAAACAATCTGCATACGTTTCATTATATTATTTTTTATTTTTTCATTAAATTAGTGCCCTTTTTTGTAATACAACATATTATGTATCCTAGTAAATTATGCAACGATCTAATGAAATTTTTTTGCCATCTAAACATGCGACACTACGTTACTGCTTCTACCAAACCATACAAAAAAATAACCACTAAGTGAACAAGATAACCAAAAAAAAAACCCTTTGAAACAATTTCATCAGCAACTATTTCAAAAGACGATTGTTTAATTAGTACATGAATTTGTTTCACTAATATGATAATTTTACCGGTTCATGAATCTCTGTTTAGGATCTGGTACTGATTTTGTGGATCAATCATAATAAGTTTTTGATCTTTATATTCTTACTACGTATAAACCTATAAAACAAATAAACATATTTAATTTTTAAAATACTAAATTAAATAAGCATTTAAATATTATCATTTCTAACATTTTCTTTATTATGTTTTCTTAATTAACATAACTTAATAACTTTCATATTTAATCAAAAACAATGTAAATGACAATTCAATCCTTAATGATTAAATTTAATAAAAAAAGAAAATTATCTATTGGTCGAAATCGGTATAAATTTTTTTGAAAGCAATAGAGACCTTTGGAAACTCTCTAGTTCAAACATATCCTCTGGTTACACCATCTATAGATGAACCTTTTAAGTTTGAGAGTGTTGCTGATGAACCAAAACTTCTGGTTAAAGAACCAGAGACCTTTGAAAATCCGATAGTCAAACCAGAACCTCTGGTTATATTACCTATGGAACCAGAACCTCTAGTTAACCAAGTAGATGCTTCTGGTAAATCTGATTCAAAGCCCATCATTGAAGTTAAATCCCATGAGTCTCAGAACTTTTCAAAAACCAAAAAGAATTTTCTTGACTCTGATTCTGAAGAAGAACTAGTCTATGAAGAACCAGAGATAGTTGTGGAAAAGAAAACTCAAGTTCCCAAAATCCCAATATGTCATGACTTCATAGATATATGCTTAAAAGCAATATCATCTTTAGAACTTGAGAAAGAGGCAAAGAAAAAGGTCAATCAAATACAAAAGACTTGAAGACCTAAATCTTATCCCTTCAAGTTCATCAAGTTTACTTTATTTACTCTTGAATAGAAACAAAAGGTAACTGCAACTGACGATTCTAATGCTCATATTTCTTCTGATTCAGCAAAATCTTAGGAAAGAAGTAAAAGCCAAGTTTACAAATAAAAATTCTAGACTAGATAGGAAGTTTGTAAGGAAAAAACCCATGATAGAACATAAAACTCATATAAGGCAAATACTTCTGGTACTTCAAGTCAAAAGAAAGTTGTTAAACCTTGATATGCATGGATGAATATTTGTCATTGTTTAATTCTTTTTTTTTACATCAGCTGAGAATGCATATCTTAGAAAATAAATGCATGCTTACTGAGTCCATATATAGGTAGGGTGTAAACGAACCGAACGAACACGAACGGAGGTTTGTTCATGTTCATTCGTTTAACTTAACCGAATAAACGAACGAACACGAACGGTAAACGAACGAAAATCTTTGTGTTCGTTCGTTTAGAAATAAGGTGTGTTTGTGTTCGTTTGTGTTCGATTATGTTCGTTCGTTAACATGCTAAACGAACGTAAATGAACGGGCTAAACGAACATAAACGAACAAATTAAACGAACATAAATAAATATTATTTGAATTCAAAGTAAATAAATAAAAGATTATATATTAAATTTAATATATAAACAAACATAAACGAACGAATATAAACGAACGTAAACGAACGGTAAATGAACGAACGTTCACGAACATAAATGAACGAACGAGACTCTTGTTCATGTTCGTTCGTTTAACTAAACGAACAAAAAAATTTGTTCATGTTCGTTCATTTATTAAATAAACGAACATAAACGAACTTCCCGCCGAATGGTTCACGAACGGTTCGCTGAACGTTCGGTTCGTTTACAGCCCTATATATAGGTATGAAAATCCTAAAACTCAAAAGCAGCATAAGAAAAAGAAACCCAAACCTAAAAAGGTTGGGGGTGAGAAAAATTAGCCCAAGCCTAAAAAGGCTGGTGGTAAGAAAAAGAAACCCAAATCTAACAAAAGAGAACCCATTATGAAATAGGTACTTAATAAACCTTAATTGTCTTGCAGGACCAACATCTGTAGCCTTGGTATATGGACTCAGGATGCTCCAAGCACATGAGTGGTGATAAAACTCGGTTATCCTCATTCATTAAAAAATTTGGAGGATCTGTTACTTTTGGAGACAATAATAAATGTATAATAAGGGATTACAGAACTCTTGTCAAAAGGAACACAACATATCAAAAATGGCTTATGTAGAAGGCTTAAAGCATAATATTTTAAGCATAAGTCAGTTTTGTGACAAAGGACTGGATGTAAGATTCAAAAAAGGATTCTGTATAATTGAAACAGAATATGAACTTACCATTATCAAGACAAAGAGAGAAGACAACCTTTAACTTATGGATTGCCATTCTTCTGTGGGACAAGAGATATTATGTCATGTTTCCGGTAGGAGTGAGGAAAATTGGCTATGCCATCAAAGATTTTACCATCTTAACTCTCAAGTTTTAAAGAAGTTAGCCAAATAAAAGTTATTTAAAGGAATGCATGATCTAAACTTTGAAAAAGACCACTTATGCTCTGCCTGTGAAATGGGAAAGCTTAAAAGGACATTTCATTAGTCCAAATCTGAAACCTCCTGTTTTAAGCCATTGGATATGCTCCATATTATGTTCACTCAGTGAAGATAATAAATCTTTCAATGATTAACAGTGACCTCAAAGTCAAAGCCTCACAATCACCAAAGAAACTTCAATTTATGTTGAAGATGTAGCTGAAGATAAAGATAGGAAGACCTAAAGCAGTTTCAAAAAGAGAAGACTTTGCATAAGCTGAAGAAAGCTTTAGCATTCTCCCTCTAGCTGAATCAGAATCTTATAGATCAAGTCTTTGTCTAATCCTCTCTTGCCAAAAGTCAAAGCCATGCAACTAAGTGGCAAAGGTATAGAACAACTAATACTTTATTGTCTTTTTTTCATGCATGACCACTATCCTTGTACATTATTCATATGCGGTTAAGCCTGCCCAACTCAAGGACAAAGACGACCCCTGTAAACCTCTCCCTGAGTGACACGTGGACTATACCTACAATGTGCATTAATTGCTTCTTGTATAAATACTTGAGAAGACCGCTCTTCTTAAAATGGAAGTTATCACTCATGCTCTTTGTTGTTAGAATCTCTTTGACCGTCCTCCAATTATCTAGAGCTAGGTGGCTCCTATCTTCAAACACTATGATAGTTTATGACATGATTATGATAACTATTACGAGACATTTACATGCTGGTAAAAAACTTCATTTATATCGTTTTGGAGGTAAGGAAATTGTAAAGGTTGATTGGTATCAAGTAGTTAATGATGGAAAGTGTGATGCGAGTGGGGGATTACGACGATAGTAGGTTTTGAGAAAAGTTGAAAACGGTGTGCATTGTATTTTACGTTGATAGTGTTCAAGAACTTGACATTGATATTACAAGGAGTCATTTACAAAGACGATTGATTTTGACAAAAAGGATGTCAAACTTCTTCTTCACAAGCAGTTGGGAACGAGATTCTCGTAATTCAGGTTTCAAAACGAAGGCGGGAAGATAAAAAAGAGGACGAGTTTAGTGATGGTCTCATGAAGCTAAATTTTTGTCATGGTCTCATTCAACTACATGAATAATATATGTACATTACACCAACGGATTTAACATGATTGTTAAATTCTTGATTAATATATGTACATTACACCAACCCATAATTAGTTGTATTTGAAATTATATTACAATTTCAGCCATAATTTAACTTTCTTATTTGTATGAATTTTCATTTTTTTTTTGAGTTTGTTAGCTTTTTTGTATGTTTTTATTTTACTTTGTTTAAACAAAACATTTAATTAGATTATAAAATAATATATCAAAGTTTCAACCCGCTTAACCCGACCAACCCCATATGCACAATTTGAGTTAGGGTTATACGGGGTGTTTGAGATTGCTTATAAAAATAACTTATTGACTTATTTCAATTTGAAATCGGTAATAAACACTTTTGAGTTTTGAATAAACAATTTATACCAGTGCCAAATTGATAATAAAGAATTTTTGAAGATGTTAAATCTTTTTAACATATAATAAATTGACAAATAGTTTTAAATAAACACAAGTTATTCAATTAAGCAATCCCAATCACCCCATAGTTTTGCTCACGTTGGTTGAGTTGAAATTTTTTTCAAACTACGAATATGAGGATGGATTTATCAAATCTTTCAACTCTGGAAACCCAACCACGTCTGATTTAACACCCGTCAACAAGAGTGGATCGAATCGGCGTCCAAGACGGTCTTTTGCATCTCTAGGTCAGGGGATGATTAATGCTGTTTAACCTGTTGCGAATGAAAATAGCATATCGTTGATATTTACTCAGGGTTTGGCCTTCGTTGAACCACAGAAAGCAGGGGAAACAGTCAGGTTAATAGGTAGTTGGAAGTGGGAAGAATGAAGGAGGATGAGAGCATCGAGTCTCGCATACAGCAAGCTATGCGCTCCCGCGTTCAACATTTCAGAGACCAAGCCGAGTATGGCCCCCTTTTTCTGCGTATTATGTTTTTTTATTACTGCCAATGTTTATGTGTCTGTCTCTCATACCCTCAATGTAGTTGCTCTACTTCCCTCACCTTCACTTAAGTTTTATTTCAAGGGACAATCTTGTGGCTGTTATTAGTGGATTTTTTTTGCCATTTATACTGTGGACCGTGCAATTAGCTAGGGGCCATAAATTGTGTCCTCAAAGGGGACGAATCAGTTGCTTCTATGCACTTGGGCTAGTTATTATTTTGAGGCATTTCAGTATACATGTGTGCTTGAATCCTGTTTCATGTTGGCGGCATTTAGTGACCTCTTGTATTCTTGTGCTGTTATTGATTATAATTTATTATGCTAAAAAATAATAATTGAAAAAGAGGTAGCAGTCTGATGATAACAATGCCATATTCTGGAGTTGGGTACTTGTTCTTCCAGAAAATTGATCAGATATAAGCACGCTATGTAGGGTTTTGTGGCAGATACACACATATGTTCGTGGAATGCATGTGTTCTGTTTATAAACTGCAAGTTTGATGACAGACCCCTTTAATGGTGATTGCTTAAGTGGTCACTTTTCGAATGAGGCAGAGGAGAAATCTAGGAGAGCGTATATGTGTTTTTGTAATTGAATCAATGAAGAACATACCCAGTAGGTCCTCACATGGTGTCATTTGTTTCCTTTACTTGTTTTAGTGATAGTAGCTGATTAGGAACGAATTGGGTCTTCTAGCTCTTGTCTGATCTTACCCTCTATGGTTGTAACTCCAATTGATCTAGTCTAATCACTACTGATTTTGATTGGGTTTTGGTTTTTTGGCTCATTTCTTGCATGTATAAGGCATATTTCTATCATCAATATTTTTTGCATTTCACCCACCCTGTATCCATCCACATATTGTTCTGAATCATTCCAGATTACTTTGATGAATATATTAATAATATTATAATTAAAATGGTTGGGTAGAAACTGAGCAAAATCTGCTCCTTGTCAAAGACTGCTTCTGAATACGTATTGATAAGATGATTAGTCTAAAGCTTATTTTAACCATTGTGCTCTAAGGACTATTTAATATGCAAGTTTTCTAACGTTTGTGATAAGAACTCGGTTTTTTAACTTACCTTATAATAATCTATGCAGTTGGAAGATGTGCAAACCTTCTTATATGGAACAGTTTCACAAATATATGAGCAACCCCCCTTCTACAAGGATAAAAAAATATTGGGACTGAGTTAAGTGACTTACAGTTACTAAAGTTAAGAATGTTGTCTACTCCCATAATTTTGGGAAGTAACCAAAAATCCTTTTGCAATTGTAACACTTCCTATAAGTTTTAAAAGCATAAGCTGAAAGAAGTGTTCTTGCTTCGTGGCTTTTGAAGAAAGTTACTTCAATTTAAATGATGTTTAAAATTGAGTCCACATCCTAGATGATTCCAATGTGTGATGATATCACCAATTTGAAAGCCGGTGTAATTATGATGAAATAGTAAGTCCAAATTAAAAAGGGCACGCATATGATCGCATTACATTCAAATGCATTCAAGGAACACCATAATGCTAAGTCTGATGCTGCTGTCAAATCAAAATAGACCCTACATTTGACGTAGGACAAATCTCTCTTAAAACAAATTGTTCGCGACTGAGCCACACATATAGGAGCTAGGGAAAGCATCTGAGCTTTCCACAAAACCTGATTATAAATATATAATATATTGCATGTGGTTCCTATCCAACAGGGTGTGAGATTGAAGCTATTGTTATTGTTGCAAATTGTGCCCATCATTCTTTGCATGCTTTGTATGTTGCTGTTTTGCTGAAAGGCTACTTATGCATGTAGATACATACACATACATTTATGTACACAAAATGCACTCGTACATAACGTAACCGTGATGCACCAGGCCTCTTCAACTTTGCGTGGTTGGTGAGGGAATTCATTTATCCAGGGTTTAATTGCAAGTTGTTTCTGTGACTTGAATAAATGCAGACACAGAAAGGATTGCGAGTGAGATGCATGAATATTTTGAAATGTATTGACTTCATGAACACAGAAAGGATTGTGGTAGAAATCCAGATGTGTTTTCATTGTCTCACCTAATATGATATAAATGCATCTCACCCTAGGGCTGATCATATAACAGAACCAAAGGAACTCCTGATTTTGGAAGGGAAATTGAAACATTTGAGGAGATGGTCACCGTAGTTACTTGGAATAACATATCATTATAAAATTCTTAGCTACAATGATTTCTACCAAATTGAACTAAATGTAGTGTCAAATATGCTGTTATAGTGGTGAAATACAAAATTGCGGTCAGGACTGATATTTGAAATAGTGCTTATAGCGGTGGTATAGTGGTCCAAAAATAGCTGTTCACATAATATTTCTTAGAATTACGTATATATAAGATATATATATATAAGATATATATATATATATATATATAAGATATATATATATATATATATATATAGGTGGAGGTTCAAACGAGAACACCATATATATATATATATATGCGCTGGAGCAGAAGCTTTTGAGGACTTGAGGATCGACGATGAAGAAGAAGGTGGACTGGACCAGAAACTGTTCAGGATCAATGATGAAGAAGGTGGAGTGGAGCAGAAGCTGTCGTCGACTCAGTGGAGAACAGGAGAAGAAGGTTAAACTTTTCTTGGTTTACTATTGTTGTCGTCGAACTCAGTGAGGAAGGATAAGATATTGGAAATAAATTGAAAACCTAACTTTTAATGTAAGTTTATAAACCATATGTTGATAAGGGCCCAAATCTAATTAGAAGCCCAAGTCAAAAACTCAAAATAAAAACCCAAAAAAAGTAAAAAATAACAACATAGTTCTAGAGAGGCCCAAGCTAAAATGTCGGAATATCAGGCCGCGATTTCACCTCAAATATTGGTCAATTGCGCCGCTAATATCGGAAACGCACTTTTCACCGCAATTCTACCTTAGTCCGCAATCCGCTATTGCAGTGAAAGAGCACTGCAGTTAACTGCATAGGTTGTCAAACAACATAGTAATAAAATTTACTGTTACTGAGAGAAAGAGAAGAAAGTACAAAGATCAACCTAGGCACAATAATTTATGTATAGCACTTTATAACAATGCTTAGTGAGCTAATCAATCCCCTAAAATCACTCATCTGGAATTATACTTGAAGCAAGTCATGACAAGGTAACATTGCCACAATCTTTAGTTTACTCATAAAGATACTTTACAATCTAGCACGGTTATCTATGCCAAGGGTGTTATAACTGATTTCTGTATTATCTAACACCATTTCTATCTGCATGTGTTAGAGCCTTGCTATTTTGTTTTATATTTGCCTTTTCTAAATTTAAAAGTTAGTTAGCCATGAAATATCAATAATATCTATGTTTTTTTCCTTTCATGAGACAGTTCTTTAACTTTTGAGGGAGTTCGAAGATTACTAGAGAAAGACCTGGTTTTGGATACATATGCGTTGGATGTACACAAGAGATATGTCAAACAATTGTTGGAGAAGGTACCCCTTATAGATTTTGATTCATTGTGTCAAGCTCAGTTAGCAATAAATCTGATAGTTTGTTCCAAGGGTCCCTGTGAAAGGAATTTTGCTACTGGCTTAATGTGGTATGCTTTTGTTGCATAGTTTGAAGACATATTGTTGATCAGTGTGCATATTAACATGTCACAGTTATGAAGATTATATGTTTTTTTAATGCATTACATGGTTGACATTCTTATAGCCTTTAATGTAGTCCCTCTTTATGCAACTTCTGACATGCAATCAGAGCGTCTCTCACATATACACCAATATTTGTAGAATGTCACCTTTTTTCATGAAACAACCTACTGATGATGTCTAAGTTAAGAAATAAATGTGGCACCCTTTCGTAGACATTGATAAGAGGGATATCTGAAGAGCCCTTCTATATTGTTGATTTCCATTTGTCATGTAAATAATTTTTTGCTTTTACGGTTCAGGGTATATAGAAGGGGTAAAGAATGCCTAAAATTAGGTGTTATCGGAAATTATTTTGTCACTGGTCAAATGTTTTTTATGAGGGCTCTAGGTACAATTTTGAAGGCAATACATTTTTGCAAAACTTAATTTCTGCTGCTTGGGCAACCAAGGAAAATATAATCACTTAGCTGCCCAGAAAAATTAGACAATGAGAATAATGAGTGTTCTCTAGCTAGCCTGTGATCATGTGTTAAGGATATAGCAGTCTATGCAAATCAAAATGCATATGCTGTCTTTTCAGTCAGAAGCGGATATTTGCTAAAAGAAACTAATAGAGAAAATCTTAACAAAGCCAAGCCAAATCCATGGTTGGGTTATCATATTCGGTTATATCAAAAACTGAACTAAAAAAGCAAACTAAAATAATATTGTAGCAAGTTTTAATTTTTATAAATTTGATCAAGCTCATGTTTCTTTTTGTTGTACTATTAATTTGTAAAACACATGCAAGTTAATTATAGTTGTTGAGACTAATTCAATTGTCAAACTTGGGTATACAATATAATTTATTGCGACAATTGATTAGAATTTTTGTGGGATCGAGAGCTTAACATGTAATATTTATATAGGATTTTTTGTGTGTTAAATTTTTGTTGGAATTTTCTAATTAATGTTGAATAATATAAAAGTGAAAAAGAAACTAACTATGACCGGATAACCAAACAGTTTGAAACTCTTTCCTATGGCCTGTAATGGTGTCATCTGAAAACAGCAACAAACTGTTTTGAGTTTTGGAAGTGGTTACACCTTAAACGCATGCCAAGCACCTAAACGGAAGTGTGCACACTCTTAGCAGTTGACCTTCAATAGGAGTGTGTGGCAGGACACGATTAATCTCCTAAGACCCTAGAAGCCTCACCACTTTATGTTTCTAATGGGTTCACCACTTTATAATTTCTTTTAACTTCATTTTGATCCTATCTGAACTAGTTTGTGATAAAAGCTTCTTGTTGTTACTGTAATTTTTTCTAAAACTATGGCTTTCCTTGCTTTTGCACAACGACCTAGGAATTTTTCCACCTATAGTTTGCAAAACCTAGTATACATTTAAGCTTTATTCGGATTCTTGAAATAGTTGAAGTGACCGACATGGATCTTTTGCCACTCTCTTAATAGCTGTGTACCCGTGACTAGCTACCATAGAAGACAAACCTTCCCCTGTTGTCCATCTGGAGGGAACTGACTTTCATCGTCACGGTGCTTTCAAGGGGCGAAAGGTGAGCTTAAAGCACACTGGGTGGACTTCTAAGAAGATATCTGGCTGAGAGAGCTTGCTCTCCCTCTAGCAAACTTTGAAAAATGTAAAAGCATTGGCTGACACACCTCCAGTGTCCACAGATCATCCATGAACTACACTAGTTTCGCAGGTGCATTCATGATTTTTCCCTTTGCCCGATTGCGCCACCAAGGATATAAATCATAGACTTTTTTGGTTTATTTAAATTTTAAAGGACGAACTATCATTGCCAGCACCACTTTGCTACCACTGCTTTACAGCCCCTCCACTTCACTCTTTCCATCTCCATCATTATGACATAGTAGCACTACACAGCACCAACTAATCTTTTTTATTCTGCATTCCTAACCAAACGCGGGCTACCCCCATTATCTGCTATTGATACCACCTTCATTGCTTCTGCCATTAAAAGACCGCTGCAACTACTAGTTTCCATAAAATTATTCAGATGTTTCAACTCCCAACCCTTTTACAGTGATAGATTATTTCTTTTCTCTCAGGCTAGCTAATGTGTTGTTTACGAAATGTAGAAAAACGAAGACCCATGATATTATAGTCTCTTTTCGAATCTGAAATGTAATGATATCCTCAAATTCTGACAACTGTACCTTCCTAGTGTCACCGGCTCTGCTTTACTGGTACTAGTTTGTTGTGATGCCTCAAATATCAGTTTATTATCTAATTATGATAATAATACTTGCCTTTTACCATGAACACCCATGAGACTGATGTTTTTCTTTGATTTTCAAATGCACAAATCCACCAAAGACATATGCGTCTAAAGTTGGAGAAGTTGCACAAGCTTTTACTTTAGTAATGTAAGCGATTGACACTTGCCTTTTTATCCTCAATGCCTTGTTAGTACTTGAGTGAGACAGAAGATGAAGAGAATGTTTCCAAGGGTTCCGAACAAATCAAGTTAGAACAGGATAAAGAAGAGGAAGAGAAGCTGAAAGAGCATAAGGTAACAGACATTCGCCCTGAAGATGAAGGCAAAATTGAAGACTCGCCTGTAATGGGCCTTTTATCAGGAAATGAATCAGCCAAATCTGGATCGGAAACTCAGGCCAATGCAAAGGACAATATACCTACTGTGGACTTGATAAAGGAGGCACTTTGGAAGAAGGCAACTTATTTTAAATCTAAATCTGAGTATGTAACTTAATTGCCAAATTGTTGCATTTATCAAGTTCTTTTTTTAATGTTCTTTTATGTTCTTTTTTGTTTTATCCCCTAACTGTGCACAAGCTGGGGGTCTTCATGGGAACAGCCGCTGTACTCTTCTGGGTGGAGGTTAGGTCTGCGTGCATCTCTCCCCCCAGACCCTACCTTCGGGTGGGATTTACTGGGCTTGTTTGGTTTGTTACATTTATCAATCAATGTGGTATCATTTCCTTGTTGCTGTGCTAATTACATGAGCTGACATCTGACTTGATTTTTGGACAGCCTTTATTTAATTATGTAATGTAACTAGTCCTAATTTTCTTTTTCGTTTCAGGGAACTTACTGTGGCTGGTGTCCGCCGGCTTTTAGAGGATGACCTTGAACTCAAAAAATATTCTCTTGATTCCTTTAAGAAACTAATAAGTAAGCAATTAGATGAGGTGAGATGGCCTACTTAATTTGGTCTGCTGTGCTGTACTCTCTGTGGGGCAACGTTTAAACTCATTAAAGCATACTGGTCATTTACTTTGCTCACAGGTCTTAAACTCACAAAATGACACACCAGATAAGACGGACTCCAGATCGGATGCTGATTCTTCACACAGTGAAAGTCTTGATATAGAAGTTAAAGTAAAACCAAAAAAGAAATTGGCTCCAAAAGGAAAAGTTCAAATATCTGAAAAGCCCAAGAAACGTAAAAGACCTGCTAAAGAAACTGAGCGGGCAAGGAAAAAACAGACTAAGCATGCTGAAGAAACATCTAATGAGAAGAACAATGTGCAAGATGTTGACGATGAATCTAACGCTGAAAAATCTGAGTCCTCTGCTGAAAAATCTGTGAAAGTTGGTATACCAGTCTTTTTTTTTTCTGGCTCTGGCAATTGAACTCCATGTATATTAAATCAAGTGAAATCTCATTATGTACAGAAGGACATGGTAGCTCCAGTATATGGAAAGAAAGTGGAACGTCTCAAATCAATTATTAAGTCTTGCGGGATGAGGTAACCCTCTTAGACATTCTACCATCTAATCACATCTTTATTACTTTTATGACCATGATCTTGTTGCTTTTGTTGACAGCGTTGCTCCTACCGTGTATAAGAAAGCTAAGCAAGTTCCTGAGGACAAACGTGAGGCATTCTTAGTAAAGGAACTGCAAGAGGTTCTCTCAAGAGAAGGGTTATCCACAAAACCTACTGAAAAAGGTTTGCTATTAAATTAATGTTCAACTCATGCTTGTCATAGTTCTATCTTCAATATCTATCTGCAAGAATTAAAATTTGATGTTATAATTATATTTTTATGTGAAACCTTATTTCTTCTCCACTGTTAGGATGATTATCAACTTCTGCCAAACCTCTCTATAGCTTGGTTCTCATGTAGGAAATAGTGTTCCCGTTCTCTCCAGCATTTTGATATATTCTATTTGGTGCTTGTTATTCTGGTGTTGGCTGTTTTGATGATTGTAGTAGAAGCCTCTATCTGTTTTTACCTCCCATGGGCACTCTCTCTTTCTTGTTCTCTCTCTCGCTTTCTCTCTCTTCTTCCCTCCTTTCTCCTCATGCATGCATACACCTAGGAAGTTCAGTATTGTTAGGAAATTACTAGAAATCTTTGAGAGAATTTAGATGCGTGAGGCAGAGAATTCCATTAGATGAAAATGAACAGAGATTACAAATGATTAGCCCCACTTATTTATAGGCTAAACAGGAAAGAAATAACAGACTAACAGAACTAGCAACCAGCTGTCTACCAGAATTAAAGTCACACCCGACAAATCTCTACCTTGACTTCAATTCTACTAAAGTTAAAAACAGAAAAGTTCTACTTCCAGCTATCAATGTTTAGGAGATCTAAACAATGTCTGAACTTGTTTAAACAAATAGGTTTAGTAAGTGCATCAGTTGGGTTGTCATAGGTCTTCACTTTAACTCTTCTTTCTGATCGTATGAAATGAAAACGAACGTCTATGTGCTTCGTTCTTTCATGATGAACCTGATCCTTCGCAAGACAAATAGCACTTAAACTGTCACAAAAAATCACAGCTTGATCTTGATGAAACCCAAGATCTCCAAGTAGACCCTTCAGCCAAATCCCTTCCTTGGCAGCCTCTGCAAGTGCTATATATTCAGCCTCTGTTGAGGATAAAGCAACTGATGGCTGTAACGTGGCTTTCCAGCTTACTAAGGCATCTCCAACAGTGAACACATAACCGTTAATGATCTCGAGTGTCAAGGTCAGCTACATAATCTTAGTTTGAATAAGCAGCAACAAAACTGTCTTCTTTTCCTCCATAAGTGAGACCCACATCAGCTGAACCTTTAAGAAACCGAAAAATACTTTTCACAACAGCACAATGTTCCTTTCCTGGACAAGCCATATAGCGCGAAGCGACACTAATGGCATGAGCTATGTCAGGAACTCTGCTCATATACTCTATTCCTTTCCTGGACAAGCCACATCGCTTGAATAAGGAACTCTGCTCATATACTCCACTTTAGCTTCTGTTTGAGGAGCCAAAGCCACCGACAACCTGAAATTTGCAGATGATGGAGTGCTCAAAGGCTTTGCGGAAGCCATACCAAACCGAATATCTTCAAAATGTAACTTTTCTGTGACAAGAAAAGTTTACGTCTAGATCTGTCTCGAACTATTTCCATCCCAAGTATCTTTTGAGCAACCCCAAAATCTTTCATATCAAACTCAAAATTAAGATTGTTTCAACCTCTTAATTTCAGCCTTATCTCGAGCTGCTACCAACATATCATCCACATAAAGTAGCAAATACACACGTGAACCATCAGCTACTTTCTTATGATATATGCAACAATCATAAGGGCTTCGATTAAAACCATGTTTCACCATAAAGCTGTCAAATCGCTTATACCACTGCCTTGGAGATTGCTTCAACCCGTAAAGCGATTTCTTGAGCTTACAAACATAATCTTCTTTTCCTTGAACCACAAATCCCTCCGGTTGACTCATAAATTTCTTCTTCAAGATCTCCATGCAAGAACGCTGTTTTAACATCCAACTGTTCCAACTCCAAATTTTGTTGTGCTACCAATGCTAACAATACTCGAATGAATGTATGACGCACCACCGGGGCTCTTGGCTATTACCTCTAGCCACCAAACGAGCCTTAAATCTCACATTTTCAACTCTTGGCAGTCCTTCTTTCCGCTTAAAAATCCACTTAGTCACAACTTTTCTGCCTTGAGGTAATTTCACCAATTCCCAAGTCCTATTTTTGTGAAGGGACTCCATTTTTTCACTCATGCCTGCTATCCACACATCAACCTCCTTTATTGTGATTGCTTCTTCATAAGTAGACGGCTCAAAGAACTCCAATTCTTCAACAACTTGTAATGCATAGGCCACCATGTCATCAAAACCATACCGAATCGGCCTGCCAACTTGTCTCCGAGGCTTGTCTAACGCTATGGACAGAAATTCCATGGGCTGGTGCTGACTTTCGGAATCAACAGGTCCTGTTTGAGTCATGTTACTGTGCTGTCCAGCAACATTCTCACTCTCATCAGAATCATTTAACTCATACTCCACCTCTTCGGAGACCCTCTCCTCTTGGTCTTTTGAAGTAGATGAAGTAGACGAATACCGTACGCCATGCAACATACTTTCTTCATCAAGTATTACATTACGACTGAGAATCACTTTTCTTTCATCAAGTGACCCGATTCTATACCCTTCACTCCACCACCATATCCTATAAATAATCCCTTCTTTGATCTTGGTTCCAACTTTCCTTCACTCACATGGTAGTACGAAGGACAACCAAACACCCGTAAGTTCATGTAATCAGCTGGCTTATCGGACCATATTTCAATAGGGGTTTTACAACCGATTGCTGTTGCTGGAGACCTATTCACCAAGTAACAACGCCTCAGCCCAAAAACCTCGAGACAACCCTGCATTTGACAACACATGTCTGACCCTTTCTATATTCATCCTTTCGGCCATTCCATTTTGCTGTGGAGTGTACCTAACCATTTGGTGCCTTGCAATCCCTTCATTGTTACAAAACCGCTCAAACTCATTCGAACGAAATTCCGAAACGTTATCAGTTTGCAGCCTCTTTATCTTCTTCCCAACTTGATTTTCAATGAGAACCTTCAATCTTTGAACTTCTCAAACGACTCATTATGTTTCATGATAAACACCCAAGTCATCCTAGAGTAATCGTCAACAATTGAGAGGAAGTAACGGTCACCACCAAGAGAAGGAACCTGTGAAGGACCCCATCAATCAACATGTAGATAGTCCAAAGTAGACTTGGTATTATGGACAGCCTTTGAAAAACTCACTCTCCTTTGTTTTCCAAAGATGCAATACTCACAAAAGCCTAGTTCAACAACTTTATGACCTCCAAGAAGTCCTTGCTTGCTGAGCATGAGCATGCCTTTCTCACTAACATGTCCCAACCTCATGTGCCACAATAGTGTCAAATCCGACTCGTTTTTATCAGAACTAAAGGTTGGTAATGCTGACCTAACAACCGTGTTGCCTTCAAGCACATACAAGGTACCTTTCTTGACTTCTTTCATCACCACTAATGCACCTTTAGAGACCCGAAGTACTCCTTTTTCACAGTTGTACTTGAAACCTTTGGAATCTAAGGCTTCCAAAGAAACCGATTTTTTTTCCACATCAGGTACATGACAAACATCAGCCAAAGTTCTCACTACACTGTCATGCATTTTGATACTTACCGAACCTATTCCACCAACATTTTCACAAGTATCAAACCAGGCCTTATTCGGTGTCATGTGAAACGAACACCTGGAGTCAAGAATCCATTCATCTTGCTGAGTTTTAGAGTCAACTACTGAAGGAACCAGATCAACCTCTGAACCCGAATCATCTTTACCAACAGCAGCAGATGCCTTCTCATTTCGTTTCTTACATTCATTTTTCCAATGTCCAAGATCACCACACCTATGACATACATCTTTCGGGCTTGCTTTTGATCCTCGACCCTTAGATCTTGATCGACTTCTTTCTTTCCACTTGCCTTTACCTTTCTCTCGACCCTTTTCTCTACCTTCATTTACCATTGACAAGCCAGCAGATTGGCTTTCAGTTCCATTTCAAGAAGCTTTATGGCGTAATTCTCGTGAATGCAAACTTGATTGAACTTCTTCCAAAGTAATCGTGTCCCTTCCAACTGCAAATGTGTTGACAAAATTTTCATATGGGGGTGGCAATGCAACCAATAAAATGAGGGCAACATCCTCATCTTCAACCTTGACCTCAACATTCTTTAAATCCATAAGAATGGAGTTTAACTCGTCCAGATGTTCCTTTAATGGCACCCCTTCCTTCATTCGAAGCGAAAATAACCTTTGCTTTAACAACTTGTTTGTTAAAGATTTGTCATGTAGAGACTTTCAAGTTTCAGCCATAAAAATGCGGCAATCTCCTCATCTGTGACCTCGTAAATCACTTCATCGGCCAAGGACCACAAGATGGTGCTGTGAGCCTTCTCATCTTGTTGATTAAAATTAGCGTCATGCATATATTGCAGCTCTTTCACCAACCAAAGGGGGGTCCAAATTCTTGCTTTTTTAGGGGAGCTTTCATCTTAATTCACATAAGCTGAAATTATTCTTCCCAGTAAACTTGTCGATCTTGATCATTTGTGGAGGCATCCTTAAATTCTTGAATGAATTGAGGCAAGAAAGATCTTCAAGAAAGTGTGTTTTAACACCAGAAAACGATAACCCGGGAGTTTTCTACCCAATAACCTGATCGAAAGAAGGAGATAAGACAACCAATTTTGATCGTTCTACACCCTTAGCCGATCACCAATTCCAGTCGCCTGTCACCAATCGATCACCAATTTCAATTGCCTGTTACCAATCGATCGCTAATTTCAATTGCCAGTCACCAATTGATCGCTAATTCAATTGCCAAATGCCAATTACCAATCGATCGCTAATTTCAGATAGGCTCCTCCTTGAATCCCGTTACCTTGAATCGGACTTCAAGATTGACGCAATTGATTGCCAAGATTGCAATCGGAAGAAGCAATTCCAAAAATCAGATCGTCTTGATCAATCACAGAAGCAAGAACAGAATTTCCAGAACTAACAGAAGCATGTCAATCATAACCAAGCTCTCATAGCAATTTGTTAGGAAATTACTAGAAATCTTTGAGAGAATTTAGATGCGTGAGGCAGAGAATTTCATTAGATGAAAATGAATAGAGATTACAAATGATTAGCCCCACTTATTATAGGCTAAACAGGAAAGAAATAACAGACTAACAGAACTAGCAACCAGCTGTCTACCAGAATTAAAGTCACACCCGACAAGAATGCTGGCAACGGATGTGTTCATATGCATTTGGAGGTTAATTATTAGGTGTGTCTATGATATATTATTTGTAAGCAGCTCTTATCATGGCATGAATGCAGAAACAACGTTTGAAGAATTAAATATGTGATCTTGAGCTATCTGATATATTGCATGATTATGGTGTGTGAGAATAATAGTAGGTAACAGGGATATATACACTGAAAAAAATTCATATGATTCTATGCGTTTTGTGGGCTCTAAATAGGCCTATTGACCTGCTGCATGAAGATGAAGTTTTAATCAATGAACATTTTTTTCCTTAGAGATCAAAGAAGTGAAACGGAGAAAGGAAAGAGCAAAGGAGCTGGAAGGCATCGACACAAGCAACATCGTTCTTGGTTCACGCAGAAGGTCCACTTCCACTTTCATCCCCCCACCAAAACCTAAAGAACCTATTGAGCCTGGTGCTGATGATTCAGAAGACAGTGATAATGATGATGATGATGATTCAGAAGACAGTGATAATGATGATGGTGATGATTCAGAAGACAACAATAAGGATGATGGTGATGATCAAGATGAGGGTGATAATGTCCATGCCAATCAGAGTGAAGAGATCCGTGAAGGTACGGCATAAGATTTCATTTCTTTCTCCTATACTGTGTGTGATGTATGCATATCTATGTTATGCGTGCTTAGTTGGGTCTCTCTTGTATAAGCATTGGCTGCATGCGATTTTTAATGAGATATTATTCAGATGTCATCATTACTAAACAATTATAAGCGATTGCAGTAATTTGTGTGGCGCAGGTGTCCCAAAATGCCTATTGTTTTCTAAACCAACTAACTTCCACAACTGTTTGAGAACCATGTCCCAATATATCATGTGCTTAACACACACACACGCGGTAATTTTACTAGGGTTTAGTATGCTTATATGTTGATGCTCACAAGTTATCTAATGTCCTGTATATCCAGGGTTCTTCCTTGTTAATGTACACAATTTTAAACCATAAGATATCTATATGGTATTAGACATTAATATCTCATTCTTCACTTATGCACCTTTCTAAACACAATAAGACATGACCTCAGGTATTTCCTTAAGGTTTGCATATCAATAGTTAGCAGACCCAAACCATGTCCGAACTTGCTCATGGGAATCTGAAAATTAATAACACAAAACAAAATAAAAAATTAGAAATTTGTTATACATGAAATTGAAATAATTTAAGAAACCGTGAGGAGCGGGCTGCCTGAAAGAGAGTACGTGAGGAGTGCTGTAGGTGGAGTGAAAAGTTTATTCATGTCCTATTGTCAATGATGTATTTTAAAATATGTTATTGTATTAAAAAATTTAAAAATTATTTTTCTTTTTAAATAAGTTTTAAGACATAAAAGTTTTTAACTTATTATATATCATAAATTAATATAAACATAATTTATAATATAATATTAACAAATATTATAACCAAAATATAGTTTACAATCAAATAAACGAAAACTACATAAGTATCAAACTTGAAGTACCATTGTAATTAAAAATAGTTCAAAATGGTCCAGGAATTGGTGTTGGGTTGGGAGTGAATTGGTGTAAAAATGGGATTTTGTTGTGCGATCTACAGGTAAAACCGGATGCAGTTGGGCCATTGACTGTTATTGTTTGTTCTTAACGGTTTTCTTGTTTGCTATGATTCTAGCTTGGTTTCCGGTTTAAACCTAAAGAAATGACCTCATTTCTTCTCTTTTTGCAGATGCCGGCGACAGTGACTAGTTCTATGTTCTTGGGATGGGCCGCTCTCTTAAACAAGTAAAGATTAAGAGTATTGTAATATGCAGACAACTGTCAGGTTTCTTTTCTTTAGTGATACTTATTTAGTTTTCTAGCTATTGATTTAGTTCTAAAGGAAAAAGTGGACTTAAATAGTTGGGGACATTATTTATGTTATGTAGTCTAAAATCTAGTAGCCTAATTTATTGGTTTTGCTTTCTTCATCGAAATTGGCAAAGTCTGTGTATATCCTACCCCCTATCTTGTATGGGGTATACCGGGTGGGCTTGGTTTGTTCTAAAAAGAATCATGTGTGCCGAATCACTCAAGAATCAACCAGCTAAAGCAATTTGGTAATGGAATACATGTATTGATGCTAGATAGTAGATACCGTAAGCCTTGAGAGGTAGCTTAACTAGTAGGATCTTGGATTTGCTTTATAGAGTTCATCGGTTTCAAGTTCATTGGCGTTTAACTTCACGACCTCGTGAGAGATGAGACGAGGTATGTGTAAGTTGGTGTAACAGTCATGGTTGCTGCATTTAGTAGATATTGTTAAGTGCCATATTTGCTAAATACAGATCCCAACTTGGGTTGCCCTCAGCAACTAAGATTTTAGGTTTGGGTCTTAGGGGTGAGCGGTTTAAATCCCCTCGGGGTGCGTTTGGTATGCAGGCTGGGTGGGACGAGACGAGACGAGACAAAAATAAATAGTCTCATGTTTGGTGGGCCATGGGACAAAAATAAGATGGGACAATATGGGACAAAAGTAAGATTGGGTGGGACTATTCTTGAATTTTTTTTGTTCCACCAAAAACCGTAGAATAACATGGGACTAAATTTGAGTTTACAATATTGTTCTTATTATTTGATATTTAAATACAAACCTAATTTAATTGCATTCTCTTTTTTCTCTTCCATAGCCTCCATTCTTGAAATGTTAAACTTTTGAAGATAGCGTGACAAATGTTATTTACAATTGTTGTGTTTAAACTTTTTAAATTATGTGTGTATTTAGAATTTGTGGTATGACAAATGTTATTTACATGTGGTTTTGGAATGTTAAAAAAAGGTATTGATATCATAAATTAAATAAGTTAAATATATTTTTGGTTGATTTGTTGTCATTTACAATCATTATATGATATAAAATAACATTGAACAACATTTAGGGGTAATATGTCATTTTAACAGTTTTGTCTTGTCTTGTCCTGTCCTAGTTGTACCAAACATAGGACATATAATTAGTCTTGTCTCGTCTCTACCTGTCTAGTTATGTCTCATCCAGTCTGCGTACCAAACATTATCTCTATTCTCGAGGCACTGGAGGGATTGCGTGAGTGTTAATTTCAGGGCTCTATAAAATTAGTCCATGTATGCCCAAACTAACCTGGGACCTTATTTCTGGATGCTCAGTATCTATAATAAGATAAGAGGTGTGTTGTTTTATTTGTCGTCTATAAATATTATGTATTTTAAAAAAACCTTTTTGTTTAGCCATATGACCAGTTAAAATCATTTTCACAACGTCTCACTATTTTCATAACTGTTCATGTGGGCAATTAATCTAATTTAAAATGTTATATAACTATGGTGGCACGCCTCTTAGATATAGTTTTTCGAGGCTTCAAAAACGTGTTGTTTGTCAATCATAATGTTATCTTATCTGGTTTACCCGACTTTTTGGTAGTCCACAAACGACCGACAGATCTTCGACAAACCAGTTTTATTGATGGATGTCTGATACCCTACTTTACCGACATATTTCCCATAGATCGTCAAACCAATAGATTTTCAAGCAACCAACTTATAGAAGGATTTCCAAGAGGTCGTCGTACCAACAGATTTCTAATAAGAGATCATCGTACCAACCAATTACCAACGGATTTTCGACATACATAGGATTACCGACACAATGCCTACTATTTTCATATTTATGCAACCCCAAGAGGCTATATAACGATTGAGAAACCATTCAAGTATACATGTTCTCCACAGGGATAGAAAGTAAGGATTTCAAACAAGTCGGTCTTAAAGTAAGATTCCAGATGAAGAATTCGATGATATGTTTTTTAGTGAGTTAACAAACTACTGAAGTGTGACAATAATTAAAAGAAAGCATGGGTGCAAGGGCTGGTGAAGTTGCGACTTAAATATGCAGTAAAACGTTGATACAACAAAACATGAGGTTGCTGCAATAATACTTCTCATTTCACACTATTGGGTCAAATGGTCTTTTTTTTAAGTGCAGATTAAGCACTTACTCATAGTGTCCTCATTGTATTTAAGATGAACACAAATCCAAGTATGTCATAGATCTTACCTTTCTTTCCATATGGAGTATGATTGCATCAGTTACTGCAACCAATGTTCTAAAAACGAGCCTAGGCGTCGCCATGACACGCATTGGCGCCGAGGCGCAGCCTAGCAGCCACGTTAACCCCCTTGGTGTTGGTGTGGACATAAGGCGTAGAGCTCGTTATAGCGCGTCATGTCCCGACATGTCCTGCCATGACACATTATGGCGTGAGAGGAAATTTGCAATTTTTACCACGATGCGTTATGGCATGGGAGGAAATTTACAATTTTTAAAACTTGAATTGAAGTAAATGTAAATACAACTTTCTAATTTTAACGGACAAATACTTAATCAAGAAAATGGGGGAAAAGAAAAAAAATCTTAAGTTACTTCTCAACATACAAAAAATATTGTTTAATTACTCTCATTTGTTGTTCTTTGATATCATTACTTTGATTTTACTGTTTGATTATTGATAACTTTCTTTTTTTAGAATTATTTTTTTATTTATTTCCTTCATTTATGCATTTATTAAATAACCAATTTCCTTGTTTTTCCCCGTTTATTCTAAAAAGTTTTAAGAAGATGATGAAACAAAAAGGAAGAAATTTTATTTCGAAAACCTTCATTTTCTGGCAAACTGCCCACTGTGGCACCACTATGGGATGTCCACAAATTTTGTTGGTTTCTGCTTTTTGGAAGATGTGTTGCTTGAAGAATCATCCCAGAGATTTCCTCCGGCTGTAATTAGCTGTTCAGATGTACCTTTTATATTATTTTATTATAAGTCTTTGTTTAGTGATCTTTGTCCCAAGGATTTTGTGCTCTTAATTTCCTTTGGATAAAGGCTTTGTCTTTATCCATCTCCCCCTATATAAAGAGGCATTGGGAGGTCATTTGAGGACATCATCCTACATCTCTTATCCCTCATCTCTCTCTATTTATTAATCTTTTAGAAGTATTGTAGCTAATGTTCTCTTCTTATTTAGTTGCAATTTAGCATTTTATTTTCTTGTATTAAAGTTGTAATTTAGTTTTATATTAATGCAAGTTACATTTCAGTCTTATTTAATGTCTTTTATTATGTCTATTATTATCTAATTTACTCGTATGGGTGTGGGTGTGAGTTAACTTAGGATTTTTATACAATATTTGGGTATTTTTACTCTTTACCACTTCGTAACTTGGTCAGTTAAGACGGGGCTTAAACTCGACGCGGATAAGTCGATCATTTTGAAGTGTTAATATTAGATCTTAGACCCAGAGATGTGCGGATCGGAAATACGGCTTAAGTGATGTACAAAGAACTCGAGAGAGTCTTTGATATTTTTGTATGTATTTAGCTAAGGGTTAAGCGATGGTTATTCTTATCACAAAGAGATTTGGGTATGGATTTTATTTCTTCTTCATTTTAGCTAAATCGGCAAGTTTCGAAGTGGTAAGCTGATAAGTGTTAATTTATTAACCTTATTACATTATTTTCTTAACCATTTTTCTTTGTTTTATTTGCCCATTAGTATCTTAATTGAGTCTTTTTATGTCTTTTTCATATATTAGTAGTAATATAGTATATCTAATGTTAATCCCTTGTTTATGCAGGTTTTTGATGATTTTTGGGCCCGATCCTGCAGCAGTCCTGTAGGACCAGGAGTGACAAAGTCTTATAGTACCATGAGCTGCACTTTTGTCTGGGCCAAGAATCCATGGGCTGCTCCTTAGAGATTGTTGGGTCAACGACCTTGGGCCTGGTCAAAGCCTATTTTGAAGAGCCGTTTGTCTTATTAGGTGGTTCCCACTTGGCAAACTCCCTTAGCCTATAAATAGAAGGCTTAAGGCTTGAGTTTACTTACCAATTCACCCATTTACACACTTTCTTACACTTCTCATGCTTCCTACCATTTAATCTTTGTATTAAATACTCTCTAGATTATTGCTTTCGGTTTCATGCTTTCGGTTTTCTTGCTCCCAATCAAGAACCGACTTTTGTGAAGTGGATTTGTGATTGCTCTCAAGTTTTAATTCAAGTGCTCGTATTTAATCTTCATCTCATTTCTGTTCTTACTTCCAAGTTACGTTACATTTTCTGACTTTTGTTACAAGTTACGAATTAGTCGATCTCTGTTGTTTTACACTAGATTTCATCCTTTGTGACTCACGACTAATTTACGTAGACTAAATAATCTGTTTTCAAGACTTTAAAAGAAACTTTTCGGTCTTAGTAACGAAAATTGTTTTGCAAGTTTTGTTACTTAACTTGCAAGTTTCCTCAAAGTCAAACTTCTTTTCTTCCATGTTTTCATTTGTCACGTCTTTATCAGTACTACTTCACATCTTCATCCCATCAAGTACTATTTTACATCTTTACTTAGATTAATATTAATTAATAGTATTTAGTTATTAGTAATTTAATTTCAGTCTTTATATTTCAGTCATTTACATTTCAGTCTTTATATTTCAGTTCTTTACATTTCAGTATTTACTTTTCTGCATTTTACTTTACTGCAATTTACTTTTCTATATTTTAATTTCCAGTAATTTACCTTCAGTCATTTATATTTCTGTCATTTAATTTCCAGTACTTTAAATTCCAGTATTTCCATTTCTTGTAATCTACTTTCTGCATTTTACTTTCTGCAATTTATTTTTCCGTATCAGTTATTTATTTTTCAGTCCTTACATCCTTTGAGAGAAGAAACCGAGTGATGATGGGCTAAACGCCTTAGCTTTGGGTGTAACGGGAAATTAAGACCAAAGCCAATGTGAAAGTACAAAGGTGTCTTATTAGCATTATAGTCTACTATTTGTTTCAGGTGCTTAATATTTCATTTGATGATTACATTAAAATTAATTGACAACTAATTTTGTGTATAAAAATGTATTGACTTTCAAAACCTGAGGTATTAGAAGAAGAATATAAATAG